AATGGATGCTGATGCCACTGCGTCTGTGTCAGTCCACTGTTATGTGGGGGGAAAGTAAAGTTTATGTTTCATGGGAGTTCTAGAAAGGCAAACATAGGGAGTGTAGCTTTGGGTGATCATGTACCTGGGAGTTCTGGCCATCTGAGCCTCCTGTGAACTATGAACTTGGGTAGAAAAGCTTTGTTCACCAGAGCAATAATACCAACTCATGGCCCCTTTCCCATAGAAGCCTGTATGAGGCACGGTCAAGGTTCAAAGAAGACGCTTTTAAAGACAAAATACCTGTAAATCCATTTTGCACATTTTGGATTAAGAAGTAAATAATGTAAAATCACATGTGGCATTTATTTTCCTTTATTGTATTAATAGCCCACTTAAATATATGCCACTGGAGGCCAGATTACCTCTTGGGAGGGAAAGAGAGAGGAATGTGATAGGCTGACTATAATTGTAGCAGAAGTCTTTCCACATCGTTGCCAGGAAATCACTGGAAGGAACTGGGAGAGTAGCTGGTATTGAAACCGTGCACCTCAGGTTGGGACTTGAACCCACATGCCGGGACTCGAACCCATGTGGCCGGGACTCGAACCCGGCCAAAACCCACAGTCTTCCAACTGAGATCACACACCTGGTTTCAGGACTTAATGAAGCAGGTTCTTGAAGTCTCATCGCAGAAAGAATTCAGCGAGAGACAAAGTGATGGGTAAGAAGTGGATTTATTTGGAGAGAAACACACTCCACAGACAGAGTGTGGGCCATCGCAGAAGGTGAGAAAGGCACCAGGGTATGGGGGTTGTCAGTTTTTATAGGGGAGGGTAATTTCATAGGCTAATGAGTGGGAGGAGTTTCCCAGCTATTTTGGGAAGGGGCGGGGATTTCCAGGAATTGAGCCACCGCCCACTTTTTGATGCTTGTGGATCCTTGGAACTGTCATGGCACCCGTGGGTGTGTCATTTAGCTTGCTGATGTGTTACAGTGAGTGTATAGTGAGGCTCAAGGTCTAGTGGACGTCGACTTGTCCACCATCTTGGACCCATTTTGTTCTAATCAGTTTATGTCATGTCCTCGGCGTGTGTCATTCTTTCAAATGCTGTGCCCTGCCCCCCTTCCCTCCTATTTCACTACATTGATTTTGTATTGCTGTGTAACAAATCACTCCCAAATTTAGTAGATGAAAATAGCAACTATTTTATTTGCTCACCGTTCTGTGAGTCAAAAATTTGGAATGGGTTTAGCCGGGCTGTTCTTACGCTAGTCACTCCTATGAACGTGGTCATCTGGTGTCTGGAATGTGTCCGCTCGGTCTAAAGTGACTTCAAGTCATCGAGCCAAGGCCAGAGTCACTGTGGGAAGGAGCCCCACGAGAGCCTGGCTACAGGGAGACACGACTCATTGGGATGATCTTTACAGTAACATTGACTATAGGTGGGTGTTTGAAAGGGTAGATAGGTTCAACTTCAGGTGTTGGGGGTTCTGCAGTTATCTTCCAGAGTTTGTGTGACATGGAGTGAAGTTCACACCGCGTTCCCCAGTACCTCCACCTCGGGGATGACACTTCCACCAGCAATGAGCTGGAGTACCCACCCGTGTCTGATCCCTTTTTCATTTAAGAGGAATAAAGTCTCAAATGTAAATTCTTTTCAGGTGCTTATAGTTCTCCGGCTGCTCTCTTACTTCGGGAAATAGGTACGTTTTTGGTTCTGGTGCCCAGGTAACTTTTCCATTTTCTCTGCATGGGCACCCCAAAGAATTGGTGTTCCCTAAATGAGCTGAGAAACTCAAAGACTGATGGAGGTTAACTAGGATAAATGTCCGTACCCCACATTTAATAAAAACAGAGTGGAATTATGCGAGTATGTAGATAAGCTAATCATCTGACCTAATCAGCAATGCACGTTTTTGTGGGGGTTTTTTTGCGGTACACGGGCCTCTCACTGTTGTGGCCTCTCCCGTTGCGGAGCACAGGCTCCGGATGCGCAGGCTCAGCGGCCATGGCTCACGGGCCCAGCTGCTCTGCAGCACGTGGGATCTTCCCGGGCCGGGGCACGAACCCGTGTCCCCTGCATCGGCAGGCGGACCCTCAACCACTGCGCCCCCAGGGAAACCCAGCAATGCACATTTTAAGAAGCTTTTCTAATTACTTCCTCGACTTGGCTGAAGGTACGGTAAAAAGAGTTTCCCAGCATGATGGCAGCAGATGTATTTCATAATATTTATTGAAACTATTGGAAAGAAATCCTCAATTATAATGCTCCTGAAAAGTACATCAAAAAAGACATCATATTTAACATATTTTAAACTCTCATTAAGATAGCAACATAATTTAGATGATCAACTCTCACACCAGTTATTTGGAATCTCATACAGCGAGACTAACTTTCACAGCCAAATTGCTTATTGGTTAACCGCCTGTGTCTTCCTTGAGTTGTATTACTTACCTGTGAGAGCTCTAGTTGTCTTGCTAAAGATGGGACCAAAATATTCTCTTTTCTCTGGCTATCTGTTAATTTGATATCTTGGCAAAGGAGTCTTCGTGCATGGTGTTTCAGGAACTTGAAATGTTAACTTGTTGATGTTTACAGGTGTATGTAACACCACACAGTATGAGATTTGGAAGCCTAGATAGGTCTATTACTCATTTTCTTGGTTGAATTTGAGCAGTTGTGAACGATTGTTAAATGAATCATTTTACAGTGAGATGGGCCCAGAGGAAACCTATTGATGAATTCCTGGTTGAAATGCCTGTATCATCTCTGTGTCTTGGGCTACTTGAGTGCTGGTTGTTCAGCTTTACCTTCCATTCTGTGAGCTGCCCAATATCTTTCCACTACATACGTTTAATATAAGTTAGCCCGAGCCAGTTTCTGTTGCCTGTAGCCAAAATAAATCTTAAATGGTCTGATGCCTTCAGTGCCTTTGGAATGACTGAATACTTAAGTAGCTCTCTGTTATTGCATAATTGTGGGACTGGTTACTTTCCTCTACAAAGAGTTTCTCCAACATCCCTCTCCTAAGAAATCTCTAGAGATCAGATGGAAAAGAAAGTCTTTGTCCCACCATGTGATAAAAAGACAACATTCAAGGACTCTTAATGAGCGTCACTGCATAATTCATTCCTGGCGTTGGAGTGAGTGAGTGCTGTATCGGTGGAAGTTACGAGTGCCGAGTCACATGACAGTGAATTGTTTTATTTGAGGATAGAGCCAGAAAAGATGGATAATCGAATGTGTGATTTAATTTCGTCGCTAGTGACTTTGAAACTGGAACATAGTTATGCAATTGAAAGTCATCAGATGTAACACTGTTATGTCCAAACTCTTAAATCTCTAGGTCAAAGTTTCTCAGCCTGGTGCTATTGACGTTTTAGACTGGTCCATTCTTTGTCATGGGGCACTGACTGTCCTGTGTTTTGTAGGATGTCTAGCAGCATTCTTGGCTTTTGCCTTCTGGGTGCCAGTAGCATCCCCCTTCCTTCAAGTTATGACAAATCAGTGTGTCTCTAGGCATTGCCAGATGTCTTTTGCGGGGGGGGGGGCAAATTTGTCATCAGCAAAGGACCACTGCTTTAGATTAGTTTCATTATTTTCTCTTTAATTTAGCCAACATTTACCAAACACTTCTACTATTCAAAGTACATTTTCGTGTTTATACTTACAGGCAGAATGTATGTCAAGTACACTCACACCCTAGGTTCAACAGATATTCGCTCCTTCCTAACCAAGTTTAGTTAGAAATATATCAGAACTCTCTAGGTATAGTTTTCCTATTCATATGGTAAGTATTAGGTAGAATCATGAGAAATTGTCTTTCGTGGTTTAAAAAATGGGAAAATATCAGCATTTTCCTGTGGCTCTACCTAATGTATGATGCACAGTAACAACAAGAAAAAAAAATGATTTGAGAAAAAAAATGAAACTGTAAATGTACCCAAATGTCATTGTAACCACGATTTTAAGTGTATTTTGCTTTTCTTTACAGCTAGTGGTGCTTTCAGAAATCTTTTGTAGGCAGCTTGGAAGAGCAGGCTGCGGGAGCTGGCTGAGGGTTGAAGTCATATATTTTAGCAATGCAATTACGTAGCTAGCGCAGTACTTCTAATTTAGAAGGTGTGCTTCTTCCGTGCCTGAGCTAAGAGGGCTGATGGAAATCCTAGGCGGTGGTTGCTAAAGCTGTTCATAAAGAGAAGGAGGTGGGAATGAAATCTGTTTTTTAAAATATACATTAGTATATTAAATGTTGATGGCGATCCTCTCATTTAAAAGGATCTGATGGTCCCCATCAACAGGAGTCAGAACATCAGGCTATGTCCTGCTTTGGCCAGTTTGCAGCGGAAGGAGGATCTTATCTAGAAATGCATTTTTGGAGAATGAGATCAGCATAGAGATGAAGGGCACTTTCTAGCACATGTAGACACAGTTAAAATGCTGCTACTTCAGTCATTTTCCTGCACTCAGATCTCCACTTAGAGCAACAACGAACTGTGAACAAGGATTCACTGTAGTATGAAGAATACCTAAACCTTTATGTTAGTCTTGTAAACCTTGTCGTTCTTTAAGCTTCTGATGGGAGCCCTAAGCAAATAAAACCTTCTCTCCCTCCTGCTCTCCACCTTCCAGGGAAAGTGCTAATGTGCAACGAAATAGCCAGAGCTCTGGTTGCAGAAGCAAGAAGAAGCCAGAGGGTAGAACAGTAACTCATGAGCTACCTAATCAGCTTCTCAGAAGTTGGTAATATTGTAGATTTTACAGTTTCTATTCCATAATCATCCCCTGAAACTACCGAGAGCTGATGGACGTTTTATAAATCAGACGAACAAGGGATAAGAGTCAGTGCGTGCTCAGTCCATAAAATACGTCGCTTTCACTAATTCCTGGGATTTCTGGAGAATTCCATGTGTGTGACATACACAGAAGAGACATTCCATGCTTGATGTTGGTCCAGGACAAGGTTAACTTTCTGCACACTAATTTTAATTCATTATATATGCCTTTTTTTCCCAGCACAAATGGACCCCCGAGGCCTATCTCCCAGACAAAGTAAAAGTGACAGTGATGATGATGACCTGCCAAATGTGACCTTAGATAGCGTTAATGAAACTGGATCTACGGCCCTTTCCATAGCCAGAGCAGTACAAGAGTAAGTATCACATTCTCAGGATGAAATAAGAATTGCCAAGGTGTTCAATGGATAATGGAAACAGCAGCATCTCCTGTTCCCCAGACCTGTCATTCTAGCTCTGAACGGGCACATGTGTCAGCATCTTTCCATTCAGCCTTGTGTTCTTTGGGAGGAGATTAGGGGAAACATGGAGTGTTTTGCGTAGTTGAAAATTTGTATTTTGAATAGAAATGAGACTTCTTTTTTAATACTTCCCGCCCCTTCTCCTTAACTCTGAAAAAAAAAAAAAAAACATTGTTCTTTTCGAGTGTCACTATCTAATTATCATCATTGTTTTCATTATTCATATAGAACAGTCAAGAGAGGTAAAATATGACAGGCAGTATTACCTTGTGTTGATAGGAAAGTACAGAAGAGCTTTTTTGAAATTTAAAATTTGGAAGATACTATGTTACCCCTTTGAAACATTCAAATCATATGTAATTTTTAAAGGGATCGTTTCTCACTCCTTTAACTGTAACACAGGGTTAGAGTTTAGCCCTTTTTCATTGAAAATAGCTGCTTTTTCATCATTGTCAATTCTGTGTCTAGAATTGCACCTATGACTAGTCCATGTGTATTTTTTTCTCTAGCATAATTTTTAATAACATAATTTTAAAGAAGAGGAAGATTTAAATTAAGCCCCTGTTACTGCCAACACAAAAGTTAATTAACACTTTACTTAAAATGATCTTAATTACCTCCCATATATTAATTCTTTTTTCCCAGGTATTGACTAAATATCTACTCTGTTTCATGAATTAGGCCTTGAAATAAAAAAAAAAAATTAGTAGGGCATTTTAGAATTTAAAGCCTATGTGTGTGTATATGTGAGGGTGTATAAAATGAATCTCTATGATAAATAGGTACTAGGTATATTATATATTAGAGGAAACAGGATATGGAAAATCTAATGAAATTGCAGTCAGAAAGATTTGGATTCAAGTTCACATTCAGTCACTTAATAGCCATGTGACATCTGGCAAGTTAACTAACCACTCTGAGATATTTCTTCATCTGTAGCAAGAAAGAATACGTACTTTATAGGACCATTGTGAGGGTGTGCTATAGTTACAAGGCATGAAAATTGAATTGCAAAGTTTTGACAGATGAGAGCCTCAAGGGTGAAATTAATATTATTATTAGTGGCAGTAGTAACAATAATGGTAATAGTGTGTAGTATAGGTACATGACAACTAGTAAATATAAATATTGCAAGTGTCATGCTGATTTTACAAATGAAGATACTGAGGATGAGAGAGGTTCAGTGTCTTCTCCAGAGTCATATAATAAGTGGTGACGAGACAAAGTTTAGGACTTCTAACTCCCCAAACACAGCTTTTTCTCAAGAGTGCCTGTAATGTCTGTTACCAGTCATATTCTTCCACTTGAACATGTATAAAAACACTTTTTTCTCTCATTTGTTCCAGTAACTGGTTGTAGTAACTTACTTAGTTTCTCCAAAGCGTTGGATCAGAAGGATGGCTGAAATCATATTTAAGTGCTAGCATGCCCGGTCACTTCATCACCAGTTCAGTGATCAGCGCAGTGATTGTGGTTTTGTGGGAGCTAAATCTTAAGATCAAGGATTCCATGTTCTCACCTGCAAAATTAGACTAAATGATGACAAAGTTCAATTCTGAGATGAATCATAAGTTTCATAGACATTTTAATCACAGTTTTCCTGCACCATATAATATATACATAATTTGTGTGTGTGTGTTATAGCTATGTGTGTTTCTGTAAGTTCGGCACTGTGATTACTAAAATCTAAGTTATGCTTACTCCATTTCGGGCTTATCGAGCAAATCATGGTATTAACATCTTAAACATAACCATTTTTTGTGCTTTTAATATTATGTGCTGAGAATATAATAGTATATTTTAATATGAAACTTTTAATAGCAGCTTTAGGAACTGGAGCTTCATTTTCAACATAACCTCTCCGATTTGCTTTGTGAAAACATTTGTAAGCCCCACAATATTTTGTTCTGACGGTGCATACGCCTGCCTTTATTACTATTGCAAAAGTTGCATGTGTATCTAGGCAAGTGCCAGATTCATTATTCATGTAAGTGTTTTCATTAAACGATTAGTAAAGAATACTGAGCTGTCACTTGGGAAGCCCTAGAATGCCAGGACCCATCAATAGTTAATTAACCATCATTCAAGAAGGAGTATGTGTGTGTAAACACTGAGAAGTGCTAAGATACTGTTAGATGAAGCGAAAAGAATGTTCTGCAGAGACCTCTTAAATATAGGTGTATTTCAAAACTTAAAACAATATGTTGAGGAAAATTTTATTCTGGGACAAATAAGTATATAGTCTTTGTCAGAGAATTTTAAAAAAAATCTGTACTTAGGTTTACCCAAAGTTAACTCTCGGTGGATATGTCTTCCTGCTCTTAATTTCTCTGATTTTTAATGCACGTCTCTGTTTCAGTATTAATTTCCCTTTCCTCTTTTTTCTGTTTGCCTTTGGATCTTGATGGCTTCTATTAACTCAAAAGCTGTCCAACAAACAAAAAAATTCCAGTATACTATGAGCAATAAAATAATGCTTCAAATCGTAAGAGGATTGAACATCATCTTGGCATGTACGAGATGAGAGGATTTCAAAAGACATCCGTGCATCTGTTTCTGGCGCTTGCAGAACTTTGAGTTAGGTGAGAAGGATGCCTGCAGGTAGAGAGGTGATAAAATCAAGGGTTTATTTGCAATAGAGGTAGCACATTTTAGAAGCCCTGGGCAACCAAAACACGTCTCTCCAATTAAAGCCATGGTTTAGGAGGGGTTTGAAGGCATGCCTCTTATCTCATTGGCCACCAGTGCAGTGTCAAGGAAGAAAGCGGGAAGATGAGAAAGGAAGCTATTAGGAAAGACTGACACTAGAGAGGGGCGAAACTGCCTTGTCCTAGGCCAGCCCTTCAGGCAAGATCCTAACCCACAAGGTGACTCTCTCCAACTGAATCTCTTCTTTGTCTCCTTTCCCATTCGGGTTCATAGCCTTGCCTCATGCAGTCATCACCGTAGTTTGAATTTTTAATTTGGTGGCTTACTTTGCTGACATTATTATATTTACATAGCATAAACCTTAATATGCTAATAAATGCTCTTTTTAAATATTTGGTATTATGCATTTTACTGGTTTTTAAAATGAACGTTTATTAAATCTTCAGTTCAAGAAATTTTCCTTTGATTTGAAATGCAGAAGTTGTTAGCCATTGCACCTCTCCCCACCCCAATATATAATATTCAGATACTCTTGTCTTTGAATAAAAAGGAACAATGCTTGGTGGCTAGAGCTGCAACCTAAGTTCACTTCCATTTAAATAGATTTTTATAGCAAGGCTCCTGAACTGTGCTTGAACCAATCATTGCAACTATTTTCATTGATTCACTTGCTTCTCGTTTATCAGCTCAGCCTCAGTGAATTCAGATAAATGGGAAGAACCGGCCATAGCGAGGCCTACAGGCAGGCTCTACCCTTCTTGTATTTCAACTGTAGAGATACTGTCCGAGCCAGAGACAGTGTATTCAAGTAATTCTGACAAAGCCAACTTCCAGCAATTCATGGAACATCTGTTTTGCTTAGGTCTGGTGTTTTTTTTTTTCCCCCTCTGATGCTATAATAGGATCATTACCCTTAACTACTTGACAAACGTAATTATGAAATAAGTGTTTGGAAAAAGAGAGGTACATGATTAGAGCAAATTATTATAATTAACTCTAACCCTAGGCAAAACAATGATATTTTTTAAATAGGTAAAATTTGGCTCTCTTACTCAGAGCCTCTAATTTCTGTACCCCTTTTTCTTCTTTTTTCTCTAACTCCAAACCTTCCTACTCCTCATTTGTTGATGCTGGTAGAATAATCAACTTCCTTCAAAGTAAAGTGTAAATGAATAAGAATATCTGAAAGCGGGCCCTCCTCAGAGGAATTAGTGTTCAACCAGGCGCAAGCCTTAAACTGAAAGAATAAAGGTCTAGACATGATACTTTCAGTAAGAGTGAAGTGGGAAAGGGTGGAGTAGAGGGTGGGAGAAGGCGATGAAGATTTTAAGGAGATGGACCAGCTTTCCTCAGTGTCAGTTTTCGCAGAATTGGTAAATGCACGTGATTGTTTAACTCACACCATATCTGAGTTCTCTGCCCTCTCTGATCTTGATTGTAACTGTCAGAGTGGAAAAGAAGCAACATGCATTAGTAGCTTTTTGCTTTGGTTAGCATCCCTAAAATTTGAACCTGTTAAAAGGATATTCTTTTCAAATAGTTCCTTGTTAATTACATTTAAGCTAATTAAAACACTGGCTTCCTCCCCCTGTTTTTATTATATTGCCTGTGTCAAGTGCCCTTCTTCTTAAAGGAAAACGATTTGTGAATTCTGGAAATGAAGAGTCCCATCTTTATTTGCACTTAGATGCCCTTTGAAAGAACAGATATGGTAGCAAGTTGGGTACCCTGTTCCTTCAGAGTCTGCTGCTCAAACATCATGGTTTCTAATTTAGAAGGTTGCATCTGATGATCAGAGAAGGGTCAGAAATCTTGGAGGTTTTCGGTTTGGGCTTTTTGTGTGTGTTTTTCATTTTCCTTATTTTAAAATTCTTGATCCTTATTTCTGAATCTCCTCATGCGTAACTTTGTTAATGTCTTTTAAATGACAGTAGAGAACAGGCCTAGAGATAAGGAAGAAAGAGAAAACAAAACTGTTACTGACTGACTTCTTTCAGGCAGATTCTGTGAGGACTTACACAGTTTTCATTTAATTTGCCCTATGCTCCTGTTTTTATGCACAAATAAACGGAAGCCCAGAGAGGTTTACTCTATCCCCAGAGGTCCTATAGCTGATAATTTGCAGAGCTCATATTGAAATCAGAGTTTGTCTGACTATAAACCCATATTCCTTTATGAAGGCAGCTCTTGTTTTTATGTTGTGGCTTTAATATCTCTAAACCATAACTTTCTAAAATTAGCAAAGT